TATATATTTATATATCTATGTATATATATTTCGTATATATATATATATATTTTCAATATAAATGATACGTAATGGCTAATTAATAGATAAATGTTGATGAGGGCATTTATGAGAAAAAAAAATATTTGTGTAATGAATATCAGTACATTATATTTTCCTCGCAAATAATTGCAAAGATAAAGGCACAAATAGAAATATGTATGTAGGTATTTACGTGTGTATGTATGTTTGTATGTTCATGTATTATTTGCAAAGCTCTTATAATCAAAATTTAGAAAAATAAATGAGCACCTAGTATAAGGCTTTTCAAAATGTGACTAGCGACCTCGTAAGGCTCGTAGAAATTTGAGCAAAAAATAAAAATTTCCTGGACCAAGAAAATTCATTTGAAACTATTTAGTTTGATGACACTTATAGTACGTCTGTGAGTTAATGGTAGTGAAAGAGAAGATAGTGTAAGGATCGCGAAAATATTTGCTTAGGTAAATGGGGGTTTCCGAGCGGAAAAGTTTGAGAAGCTCTGTTCCAGCATATCTTTGTTATATCGAATCATGAAATTTCGAGTATTAAAATATAATGAAAAGGAAAAAGCTAAAAAAATATTATCTTTTAACCATATAACACCATAGAATTAAGTCAATGTTAATTAACACCGTAACCAACTCCAAATTCGTTCATTTCTTATCGTTATTACTATTATTATTTATTACCATTATCATTAATATTATTATATTTCTATCATATTGCATGAAATGATTCCACTCGTAATACTGTTCATTGTAAAAGATTAATTACTAAATTAATGAATGCAAAACCGATTGATTAAATTGATTTCTTATTAATTATTGTTTCGAAATTGAATTCAAATATTTAATTAATATTAATGCGTATTTTTGTGTTTTTAAACATTTTTTTTTTGTACTTTTTTTGTGGCTTGTTCTTTGCTGTTTCTTTTTCTTTCGTTCTAGATGCATACGTTAAAAATATGTAATTGTCATTTCATAATCTTTTTTGCTAGCTTAAAATCTAAGATGACATTTATATTTACTATTATTTACAACGATTTGTGTGTGGTTATTTTTAATGATCACCCATGTACACTCTCGCGTTAGTTTTTTGTTTGTTTGTATCAATCGTTCGCTATAATCTAGTAGAGTCAATTGTTACGATACTATCGTCGAATGAACTGTTTTCCAAACCCATTTTCTTTCTGTATGATTTCTTCAAGACAGGAGTTCTGAAAAATATTAAGAAAAAAACGAATTTAAAGAAAGATTAGAAAAGAACAAAATATCAAATATGCACGTATTTTTGTTTCCTTTTTAATTAGAAAAAGAAGAAATTAATATTTTTGTTTAATACTCACGCTTTTATGCATGGAATCCACCAGAAATTTTGTCCCCTACCAAAATCATTTCCCTCTTCCAATGATTCTGGTAATTCCATGTTCAAGGTTTCCGGTAGCGTTAAAGTTAAAAATGCAACTACGAAGGATATAAGTCCGAGAGCAACCAAAGGTAATGCCGGATTGACGTCGGACTGAAATTTGAAAACCATACGATAAATTGCAATAAAAATTCCAATTTTGTCACCAATTTGCTATCTTTTTATTTGTGAAATTTTGGTAATTATTTAAAATGATTGTGGTTTGCAACAATATTAATTTTATCGGCATTGAAATATAGTGTATTGTATATACTAACCAGATAAATGATGTAAGGTCCAATAATATGAGCGAAATAACCAATAATATGGATCAATGAAACACCTTGTGCCCGTACCACCGTTGGTAACATTTCAGCGGCATATTGAAAACCAATATTCGCGGCTATGTTTACTCCTAAACGTGCTAAAATAGCCATGGCCACAGTGAAATATCCTAAAATCATATCATGGAGCAAGAATTAATAATGCGAACTAATATTAGTAATTCTTATACATAAAACATACATAATAATAATAATAATAAAGAACAATCAATGGTTCACGTGACTCTCAAACGGTACACGTGCATAGAAAATTTAATTTAATATTTCATAATTGATTTATGACTTTAATTTTTTTATATTTGCAACTATTATCGAATTTGGATATTTAAATAATGAGAAAATATAAATTGTGCACGATTGATTTACTTTCATGGGATTCCCAAAATATTAGTAATATCTTTGATCTCTTCGTGACTAAATTTACCAGTGACACATACAATAAAATTATAATAATAATAATAATAATAATTATAATAAATATGGATGATTTATACCTTCGGGAGTTGCAATGGCGATGAATGAGAAAACACCGCACAAAAACATGGATGCGAATCCCATCCATCGTCTTCCCCATCTATCCAGTAAAAGAGCTAAAAGAATAGCAGCTGGAAGTTCGGTCATTGATGCAAGAGAAAAGGATGTGAACACATCAGGATCCAACAATTTCATGTTCCATACATGCCCATCAAATACCAAAACAATGAGAAGCCTATAAAAATTACATCAGTTACAAAAAATGTCTAGATAAATATTTTATTCACTTTTCTTTTGTTTTCAATTTTTCATTTGGGATACTTACCAATATATTATAAGTACTATTGTAATACAAGCTAATCTAGGTAACTTGAAAAGATCCAACACAGTGTGTTGACGATGGGCAGAATCCATTTCAGCTGCATTCTTACAACTTTTTTCGAATGTTTCCAAAATTTGTGGTTGCAATATCTTTTTGTTGACCTTGGCGAATTTTTTCAGCATTTCGAAGGCTTTATCTGGTTTTCCCGTCATGATATACCATCTAAATAATAAAATACAAAATTTAAAAACTATGCAAAATAATATTTTTTTTATTATTAATAATTAAAATATTATTATTTATTATTTAAATTTATGATTAATTTATATAAAATTATGATTAAAAGATGAGATAAAGATAATTTCAGTATTATAATTATAATAATATTCATGTTTAATAAATATTATTATTATTATTATTATTATTATTATTACTAATGAAATTAATGTATAAAAAATTAATTTGTAAATACCGTGTACTTTCGGGGACGATCCAAGGTGCAATAAATGCAACGATCATTGGAAATGCGGTAACTATACTTAAAATTCTCCAATCTGCTATCCAATAAGCAATCCATGGTAACAATCCAGCTGCTGCAGCGAAATAGATTCCAAATGACATATTTGCGAACAAAGTTCTATATCTTGGTCCGACATATTCGATAACTAAAACGAAAATATTAAATATATAATAAAAATAATCGAACAATTATATATATATATATACACCGACGATTATTTTGAATCCTAATAAAATTTCTTTCTTTATAACTAAACATTGTTAGAAATAAACTTACCGATGATAAAAAGAATGTTGAAACAATTGTCAAAGGACGAACCGACGATTAATCTGGCCAGACAAAAGCTCCAAAAGCTATTACAAAATGCTGTAGCAACGGATGCGAAAAATCCTACGGCATTGCAGGAAACCAATGCTGGTATTCTACCATAATGATCGGCTATGTAACCAAAAATAAAACCACCGATGATACTTCCTACGAAAAATGCTGATTGCGCCGCTGAACTTAGAAAAGTTTTTTCGCAAACCCAGTTCAACTGTTTTCCATAAGAAAAAAAAGAAAACGAAATTAGAAGAAATTAAAAGACATTTAAAAATGGTATAAAAACAAATTAGAAATATTTTCGATGCGATTGTCGATGCAATAATAATTTTATTGTTTATTTAAATAACACAAAAAACCAAAAAAAAATTCTTACCTCGGCAGCAATGGAGGCGTACGGTATCATTGTGTAATTGTATTCCCATCCATTATTGCAAGGAATTTTAGGCCAATTTGGATCAGATTTTCTGATACCTTTATTGAAAATATCAGTGTAATTTACGTCGTACATGAAACATCTTGAAAAGGACGTCGAACTTTCTAATTTTAATTCCTCGTTCGTTGGTGGTGGTATCGCTAAAGCGATTCTAAACAAAACGAAATCAAAAAAACAAATTAACTCTTGATAGATCAGTTTTTTTTGTCGTCATTAAAAAATAATTTATATAACTCTTAAAATCAAATAAATATTAATCTGTAAATACAAATTAACAACGAATGAATAATTTTCAAAGATAATCAATCGATTTCCATAATTCAAGTTTGAGTTGATAATCGGTATGAAGAATCTTTTATTATTTATATATATAAAAGGAAGATTATATGAAATTAATATAAGTCTCAAAGGGAATTTTGGACGGTTGTTAAATCTTATGAACGATTTATTTTGAACCAGTTGTACGTTTCGTCCCTTACTTGGGACTTCATCAGCAACTCGATCTTTACAGTTCACGTGTCAATATACATATTATCTACAAATAAATCAATACAAGTATTTGGTTACATGTTATAAGATAAGGTGTTTAGGAATAAATTGTATTGTAATATGTTAAGTATTATTGAAATGTATGACTCTGAAAGAAAGATAATATGTATATTGACACGTGAACTGTAAAGATCGAGTTACTGATGAAGTCTCCCAAGTAAGGGACGAAACGTACAAGTGGTTCAAAATAAATCGTTCATAAGATTTAACAACCGTCCAAAATTCCCTTTGAGACTTATATTAATAATATTTATTTCTGGACAAGAATATTGATTAATTAAATTATATGAAATATTATATATGCGTCATATCGGGGAAGAAAATTAAATTACAAAAGAATATTCATTTATTGGTATGTTATTTCAAAGTTACACGGGACTCTCATATAGAGGATTAATAATAAATATTTAAAATTATTAATAAAAATATATCCAAACTCTTTTTTTTTACATGCAAGAATTGCACAAAATAAACAAAAAAAATCCGTCCGAGTAATTTAATTTAATTTAATTTTCTTCAATGTTAATTTAATCGATTAAAATACGTTTGTTAATAATTAGAAAATTTTTGAAATGAATTTATTCTGAATTTTTAAAACGCTTCCGGAACAATTATTATTTGTTTTGAAATATATTTTTACGTGTAAGTTAGTATTAACTTCAACGTTCGTTGCTGTTACACGCGCGATAGTGCGAAGGTTACTTCGGATGGTCCATAAAAGTAAATTTACCGTGTCACCTGATTAGTTGGTTTTTCTTTATTTCTTTTTTTTATCAACAACGATTATTTTGTAATTAACTGGGACTAGAACGAGATAGAACACAATTACAAGGTGAACTTTATAATCTATTTTTTATTGTTCTGGTTTTCCTAACATCAACACACCAAATATCTACACACACACACACACACACACATATATATATAAACCATTATGAAGAAATAATTTTGTATTTTTTCCCTCTCATTTTTTGTTAACAACTTAAAAACAAATTACGTTTGTTTGTTTTCTTTCCCTCCGATCGTTTTATTCATTCATGTATTACTTATATCCTGTTCGTTAATCGTATTTTAAAAGGAAAAGATGCAGATAAATAATAGGAAAAAAAAAATTAGATGAATATGTGTCGAACAAGATCTCGATTTACGGTCGATTAATTTTCTCAATAAATTCTATTGCAATTCTAATAAGCGCGTTAGTTTAAAAAACCTAACACGTTTCAGTTCTCTTCTTTTAATCTTACATGAGTAACGATTTCGTAGAAATCAGATGGGTCGATGATTTATGACGAACCACGTGATTTCTTTTTCTTTACTTTTTTTTATCCTTCTCTTTTTTTTTTTTTCTTTTTTTATCCTTCTTCTTTTTCTTCTTCATCAATTATTCACGCGTCGGTATTTTCGAAAAATCTCGTTTTCCCTACCAAGAAAAATTTAATCGATTCATTGTTCCTTACGAGTTTTCTTATTCATTCTCGTTTATAGTCATAACATAAGAAAAAGAAAAATTTAATTCATACGTATATATTTTCAATGCGTGAATTATAAATCAATTAAAAACAAAAATATAAGTATCTACGATGCACGAATTATACAATAATACAATAAATTAACACGGATATTAATTTTAATATATTAAAAAATAAATTATTTATTTATATATATATTAATTAAAAACACAAATTATCTTTGATTGAAATTTAATATAACGATTACTATTTGGAACGAGTTTATTTTTATAATTGTTACCAGAAGTATCGAACTAGTTTGATCACAAAGCTTAGACACAGGTAGCATTGATATAGAATTAGTCAATAGATCTAATCTTTCGAACGTTTCGTATGAATGGATCGTTTGTAGAATGGAATACAACAAAGAAGTTGATACTAACTCAGTGGTGGTCAACACGTCAATTGCGAAGCGATTTTTTGATCGTTCATAAACGACAAGAGATGATTTCTGATACAATGTAATATTAAAAAATGAAATTATAACTCTAAAAATGAATTTAATCTTACAAGCTTGTGAAAATTTATAGAAGATATTTGGATATATAATACGTCAATCGAAATAAAATATCCCAATATTTACTAAATATTTTTGATTTATATAATTATGTGAATCGGTTTTGTCATAATATAATTAACGAAGACTAAAAAATGTTCATTCTATTTACTGATTCCCTTACTGAAAATTTATTATCATTATTTTTGTCAATAGATTAGAGATTTGATAAACACCAAATTATGAATACTTGATCGGATATAAATTTTCTACTAATTATATTATAGGAAAATAAAATTTAATTTGTATTTATTCTGTGACTATTTTTCAATTAATAAAATATCATGTTGGTTTAAAATAATCCCTTCCCCATATTAGTCACATATTAATACACAAGACGTATGTTTGAATGTGTTAAATGGCAAGATTTTAGTAGATAGATCGGGATACATGTTTAGAACAAAGAGTCGATCGCATATGAAATAAAGTTGACCACCTTTGGTCTAACTGACGTAATCAACGATCAATTAGAAATGAAAATATTTTATTTAGCAAGATTTTTCCTTTTTTTTTTTTCCGTATCTATCGTTATTTCTACATTTTGCGTAATCGTTCGTTAGTGTTCATTTCTACGTTCATTGCCATTTCTATTCATTTGCATAGTTCCGCTGATCGTAAGGAATAAACGAGAATAAAAGAGAAATAGAGAAAGACAAAATCTTAGTTATCGTCAACTGCAATCTGAGAATCAGAATTTCTACTGAGTCATACTTTGTTATTTCACTTCTTGTAAACAAAAAGTATAAAAACATTTCTCGGTATATTAAAAATAACAAATTTGTATGATTAATTTAAATAAAAAGTATAATTAACTTGAAAATAAATTAATTATACATCAATTTTAATATTTTTAATAATATTTATATATGATTAATGATATATTAATAAAAGATAATGTGATTGAAATAAGATACATAGGGCCTTTAAAATGATAAATACGATTCTGAAAGAGAAAGAGAGAGAGAACGAAATTTGTAATATTTTTGTTTAAATATTTCGAAATGCGATAATTTTGAAAAAGAAATTTTTTTGTTCGAGTAACAATTAAAAATACAAAAAAAAGTAGGAAATCAAATTTAAAAAAAAAGGATAGATAAAATAATTTCAATGAGTTAGTAAGATTAGAGTTCTCTATTAGAAATTTAAACTCGTCTAGTCATTATGTGTATTACTTCACTCGACAAATAATAATTATCTAAGATCATAGTTATAGATAGAATATCATCGTGTGGGTGCCATTTTGCATATTGCATTTCGATCTCGTGGTTTTCCTTATTGTACATTTTGTTTACGACTGTTTAATCGTGTATGTTGACATTATTTATTTCTATCTAATCTTATCTCATGTAAATAAATTATCTGTTTACAGAGATTTTTTCATATTTTTAAAATGAGTTATAAAAATTAAAATTAATAAAAGAGTTTTGTGTGTGAAAATGAGTTATAGAAAAATATTTGAATTATTAATAATATATATATTTATATATACATTATTTTATTATTATTTTATAAATGTACATATAATATATTATCATAATTATGTATGACGAGGTGGCCGAGTGGTTAAGGCGTTGGACTGCTAATCCAATGTGCTCTGCACGCGTGGGTTCGAATCCCATCCTCGTCGAATATATTCCATTTTATTTATTTATAAGATGGGTATTAATAATATATATGAATATATATTATTTAATAAAAATATATATTTTTATAATCATAGAGAGTCTCTATATATATTTTGTATTAAAATATTAAAATGATCAATTAAATTAACAGCCTAATTATAGATAATTATTACTTGCTGTAATATTAATTATGTAAATAGTTCTAATAGCAAAGATCTATTAAAAATTTTCTACCTTTTTAACGTTTTACCATTTAGAATTTAATTTTTGTAGAAATTTTTTAAAACAATTCTATTCTAAGTATGATAATATATATTTCGATACTTATCCAATGATGAGAAAATAAAATTAAATTTTATAAATAGACACTTTTATGAATTTTCACAATAACAATTATTTAAAAATGATTACAAATGACGTTTGAAAAGGATTGAGTAATTTTTATCGTCACTGTGCATCTCGATAGAAAAATTTTAAATAAACCAAAGGTATTTATTCGAGAAGTTGTAACATCGACAATCTAATGTTCGACATTTAAAATGCAATGTTGTAATCTTAGAAATCGTTTTAAATGTGTGTATATTCATATCATATCATTTTCTTTCTAATATTTTCTAAATGCTTAGATCATTCTCGCTTTTATACAAATAATGTGGAAAATAAAATAAATTAATAAAGAACAATATAATTGATTATTATCATCATCAACAAGTGACTATTAATTTTCATTAGAAAATAAAAGGAAAAATTTATAGAGATTGGTATAAAAAAGTAGATAAATATCTGTCCTGTTTTTTTATAGAAAATTTCATATATAACAACATTTATTTTCACACACGTGAGTACGATGTTTTGCAATTAAACAATTAAAACGTTAAAAGAAATTGGGCTTATTATGGAATATACTTCAAATATCAGATTATGAAGTTATTCAAACGATTGAAAAATTTCCAGACTCGTATTTACTCACATACGTATATCTATGTGTTTGTTATAAATCTTGACTACTTATCATTTAATAAACCTAATGTCTGGAATTGATAAAAAATTATACTAATAAATCGTATCTCGAAGAAAAGAAAAATATGCAACGATTCTCTGTTTTAAAATCATTTTTTCTTCTCTTTTTATATATGTGTGTGTATTGTATTATTAATGATAATCGATTATCAAGGAAGCGTTACGCTGATAAACATCACGTAGATTCTAACTTGTAAATTGCACCGAACTATTACGAACCAAGTGTATTATGCAAATGAATTTAACTTTTGTGTCTGTTATTTAACGATCAGCGTTAAATTTGTATTTTTTTTTTTTATAATACAGAAAAAAGCGATCATAATTACGTAAGCTAGGCAATAATTAATAATTTTTAAGTAACAAAAGAGAATGATAGGAACAAATTTGTAAGTGAAACATAAATTTAACAATAAAACCTGTTTAATATTTTTTTTATAAATTTCATAATACGCAAACAAAAGCAGTGATAACTAAAATTACAAAAAAACCAAAGTTATAGAAAAATAAATAATCATAATAAAAATGTAAATTATTAATCTTTACGCGCGTTTATGGAAATATATTTATTTTTTCTTGCGTAGATATATATTATAAATAAATATGTATAGAAATTATTATTTAAAAATAAAAACTCTGAAGTTTTCCTTATAGGAATAAAAAAGGGAAGGAAAATTAAAAGGTTCTCAGATTATTAAAGATAATTTTTCGGAAATAAAATGGTAAAGTAAACGGAAAGAAAAATAACAATTAGCGTGTTGATTGTAATGATCTGTCACGTCAATCCGTATAAAGAGGAAAAACGTATGAGTATGCTGTGTAAGTTCCAGTTAACAGACTGTCTGAATGATTCAACACGATTGTGGATCAGTATGTGGTTTTCCTGTTTTCTCAATTTTATGACTTTTGAAAGAAACCTGTTTTTCGATTTTTCCCTACTCTATTTACTCGAATTAATTTATACACATATTCTTTTCTTCACGATTCTCAAAAAAAAATTATAAATAATTTATTAATACGCACATTTTTTTATCAATATTTTTCTCTATACTTGAAGGAACGATTGAGTGTGCGTGCGAGTGTGCAAGTGTCGAGTAAATGGAAAAAAAAATGAATAAATAAAATAACATAAAGTTGTTGCTAGAAATTAATAAACGAATCTTATTCTCGTGGTTCTAACGTTGAGAATAAATATTATTATTATTATTATTATTATTATTACTTTATTATTTAATTTCAAATAGTCGTTATAAGATATAATGTGTAAATAATATGACGAATTCTTCTAAAAAAAAAAGAAAAAGAAAGATATTAAAACATTTAGTAATCATTTTGTTTGAATAATTATGCAACATTACTTGTATACTCTAGATATAATGTAATAATAATTTGTTATTTATCAATTTTACTTCACTCGGTCGTATTTTGAACTTTAAAATGATTATGAGAATGATAAGATGAGTAAGAAGCAGGAAATATTTCTTAAATATAAAATATTTGAGAGATTTTAGGAAGGAACGAAGATTACAACTCGAGAAATGTAGTTTTCCTTGAAAAAGATGATTCTTGGTTCTCATGTCAGTAAAACGTTGAATGCACGAGATAAAGGCGTTGACTTTGTTTTTTGCCTTCAGGTGATTCCACCGAATCCGCACGCTTGTTATTTCTCTCTCTCTCTCTCTCTCTCTCTCTCCCTCTCTCTCGCTCTTTCTTTATTTCTCTGTTTTTGTTTGCTGTCTACACATAGGTATATGTGTATATGTGTGTGTATAAGTATAAATGCTACTCACCTTTGATGATCTGTAAGATTCAAATCCATGAGCTCTGGTATCGTGCACCAATGTTCAGCAGGCACCAATGTTATGAAGAATTGTGCAAAATATAGGAACGCATAGACGAAGGTAAATGGCAATAGAAGAAAAAAAAGGAACAATTGATAACGACCGGCTTCTCCAACATAATGCAAAATGTCGTCGAAGCTTTCAACCGCCTTATAATAAGTGCTTTGCCCTTCTGTCTTTCCTGAATCCGTTGCTACCGTCATTTTTCAGTCTGCGAACAATTAAACAAATATATATTTTTATTTATTTGATTATGTATTTATACAAAAAAAAGACACGTTTATATAATATTTTTTTATTTATTGTATAATGTAATTTGTTATTTTTATTTTTGTTTTTTAATTTCAATTCTAAATTTATTTTCAATTAAACAGAGAGGCGTCGTTGATTTTTTGGGTATTTTGGAGTAACATCTTTAGTTGGAGGGATTTATTAATCCTAATTAATTCAAGTTTAGGTTAATTGTGACGATTGATTTGCTATTTTTTATAATTAATTTTTCTCTGAAATTTTTTTATTTAAATCGTTTTCATGATTATTTTTTTAACCGCGAATTCGCCCCAAGCATAATTCCCATTCAATGTGAAAATGATAGAATTTTTGTGAATTATGATAAAGATTTTAGTTACAAAATACGAGACCCCGAAAAAAATTAAGAAAATTATTTACCGAAGACAAATTTGTGTTAATAATTTTGATTGAAAAGATTACGAAAGAGGATATTAAAAATTATTTTAGACAAATTTGATTATAAATAGAAAACGGTAATAAAAATAATTTCAATGATATTTGATTATGAAACGCGTTTGTAAGGAAACGCCATTGCGTTTGGGTTTATATTATTTGAGATGGCGATAAGGTAGTAATCATCTTATCGTTTAATTCTTTAATGACAATGATTGTTTCGCAATATTTCCGGTATTCTAATTAATTCGTTCATTTTATTTACGATTTTTAATATTCTTTCTACTATGGACAATTGAACGAGAAGATACAAAAAAAAACAATTTTTACTTATTTTACTTTCCTTTTATTATTAATACTTATATTAAATATAATTAAATCGAAATGTGAAAAATAAAAAAACATATATTTTAAAAGGATGATATTTTGTTTAAACAATGTTTGATAATAAGTATTAAAAAATAATTTATAACATTTTATATGCAAATAATAAATAGATTATATTACAAAATATTGCATTGGGTTGCACGTAGTATTAAAATATTGGTTCAGTCAATAAATCTGTTATTTCCAATCTAAAAATGATCGAATGCAATTTTTATTCTTTTAGATATCAAATATTGAAAATTTGTATCAAATGTTGGTTGACCAATATTGTTACTTGGCCGACGTAATAAATTCAGTAAAAAAAAGTAAATGTTAACAATGAAAGAAACCAAAAAAAAAAAGAAAAAGAATTCCGACGAAAATAGTCAAACGTTTAGATGATCAGAAGATAACAAAGATAAAATTAACAAGTAAAAATGAAAAGAAATGTCTACAATCCAAGATAAAATTGTTGAAAAAAAAGATAAATTTAATAAGTTAAAAGGAAAGGACAAAGTCTGATGAAAGTTAAACGTTTTGATGATCAAGAGATTAGAAAAATTAAGAAAAAAAGAAAAGAGATAAAAAAATGTTGACACGTGTCACGTATCAAGCTAGTTTCGTCGATTGCAGTTTATTAATCGTCAGGGTGGCATCGTTCTCGTTTCACATATGAAAATAGACGAAAGTTAATTGGACGAGAATTAAGACGAATTAAAGTGAGACACGTCTTTTAATTCGCGTATTTGCACGCACGCATTCACGCACGTACGGACACAATTAGTATTGTGTATATGTGTGTAAGGTAATTAATAGAAAACGTTAGATATCTAACACGCGAAATCTGATTTAACACCCGGTTATCTTGACGTTAAAGTGACGTCCAAGGTAATCATCTTTATTTTCTTTTTTTTTAACGATGAATGAAATCATTTGATCATCGTAACGTATTTAAACAAAAGTTTAAGAAAAATAAATAAATGAAAATTGAAAATAAATTATGAATGGTTACGTACGTGCGTAAAATATGTTAGAAAAAAGAAATAAAAAGAGAAAAAGAATAATGAAAAAATCGAGACTAACTAAGAATATTAATTAATCAAAATGTCAGAAATAATATTGTACTTGTTGATCGATTCGTCAATTTTACCGATCGAATAACACGAATCTAAATTTGTTTTAATAATAAGAATAATCAATATTTGATGATAACTTCTATTTTAACTTCATATCTACCTTTAATGGGGCCAATAGGCTGCGAATTAAGTAAATATCTATTTATCTACTTATATTCTTACAAGGAAAACATCTAATTATATAGTATAATGTTTAATTGTAATCTTGAATGATTAATTGAGAAGGCAATTAAAACGATACAACTCTTTTTAATCGATTGAACAATCTATTAATTCAATCGATATACCAATCTTATCTTTTGAATGAAACGCATCGAAGTCTGTCGAAATTGTGATAAAATAAAATGAAAAAAAAGGAAAAAAAAGACCCAAAAAAAAAAAATGTAAAATTATTCGCATCGTCGTTATAGTTTTTGTAATTAATTTATTTCGAATAGAATATTACTGTGACGTAAGAGCGATGACATAGAGAAACATTTATTATCTAGAAAATGACATTTATCTATTTATCTATATATTCCCATCTTACTCTTTTTCTCTCATTCACTAACGTTTCTCCATGGTCATGGCCGAGAGGGATATGAATCTTTCATAAAGTATTTATTTTTATAATCTATGTATTTATTACTGCAATGGTTAATTGGCACGCCTTGGTATAGATCGCGCGTGAAATAGATAAAAAATAAGATTAAAAAAAAACAGGAAACTATGAAGCTGCGTTACGCAACGATATTCATTGTTTTTAAATTGTTTGAGATTTTTCTTTAATAATTATTCGTCAAGTTTTCGTATATTTATATATTCAAAATTTCACAATAATATACTTTTTCTTTTAAAAATTAGTTTTATTATTAAAATTATTAAAAATAAAATCCGTACGCGAGTTTTATCGCCATTAAAATGCTTCATTAATTTCCGCGCGCGCGTTCGATTTCTGATTTATAAATTTTGTATTTAAAATGAAATTTGTTCTTATTATTTTTAATTATAGTCAAAAGTAATGAAAATAATTTTAATTGTTGGTTTTTTTTTTAAATCTAAAATCTAAGTATCGTATGATACTTTTATTTTCACGGTTCTTCATTTATTTTCGTATCTCACTTTAGATTTAATCTTCACTTTGATCTCTGTTTTCTTTTTGATAATTAAATGATAAAACTATAATATCATAATTTTCGTTTTTATGTTTAAATTAAAGCGTGATTTTTATTATTGATGATGAACTATCGTGTGAGAGTTACTTAATCTACATTTCGATAAGACAGATCGTTTATTTCCTATTACTCAACAACAAGTGTGCTTTAATAGAATAAAATATGGAACGTATTACTCATAACTAATTCTCACTTTCTTCTCTCATTCCATTCCCATTTGTAAACTATCTCAACGATTTGTATTGTTCTATCTCTTTCTTATTTAATCTTTGTCAGTAGTGGCAAGGACAACTAATTGAAGGATCCTTTTATCCAACTCTATTGTAAGACTTTTTGTTTTTATCAAATAAACAGATCGATCACCAAAGATAATTATCAGGTAGTACAATTAAAATGACTTAGTTGTAAAAGATTACAATTACAGTTTACACCAGTCTAACGAAATTTTAACAAGAATGCGGATAAATTATTAAACAGATTCCATTTAGTTTCGTTAACTTTGTTCAACGTTCGAGTGTTGCCGCAATTTTTATTCAGGACCGTATTTACATTCTTAGAAATCCTAAATTCAAATTAATTATATCGGTATCTTAACAAAACAATCAAACATATTTTAATTAATTTAATTCATTTAATATATTTTTTTCTGTTCTTTTTCTTTTTCTTTTTCTTTTGGTAAAGATATTTACAAGCGTTTTATATTTTGGGGTTATAAATAAAATGAGATTTTGCGAATAAAAAGGATCCCCAAATTGAGACCCCTTGCAGTTGATACGGTCCTGACAGTGTCTCAGCAAGTCCTGAGGAAGAATCCTTTATTTCCTCTTTAACAAGATCCAACTATTAATTGACTTTAAGTTTTATCTCTTCTTTTATGCTTGCGAATTTAGTTAACGTCTCACGTTTCTTTGACACGTCATCTCAAGATGAAGACAAATAAGTGAATTTGAATGAGACGATGATCGGATCGAAGTATCCACCTTTTACGTTTTTGTCGTTAAATACAACTAAAATTACCATACAAACGAAAAATTCTATCGATTTGTAAAATGAACGAAAAAAGAAAAATTTTATTAAATCCCCTCCCCAAAAAATGGTATTCTATATATTTTTTTTCTCGATAGAAAATATTATTATAATACTTCGATCGATTTGTATAAGACAAAAAGAAATCATAAATCTTGATAGAACAATTTTTTTCTCTTTTATTAATATTCCGTCAATAATGTATCTTTTTTCATTAATATTAATAAATCTCAACCATGATGAAAGTTTGCGAATGATTATCCATTAAAATGATTCGTCCTTGTACAAATACCATCGAATCTCTAAGCTAATAGAACTTCTCGACACTGATTTAATATTTATTAAATTAATTTAATCGATATTTTTTCATTTTTTGTTCTCAATCATCTCCTTCCTTCCTTTTTATCTCTTATTTTTTTTTTCTTTTTTTTTTATATTTTTTCTTCTCTCACTTTAGTTTTTATTCATTAAACTTTTTGTTCCCTTGTTTTAAACTCGAGAGTCAGAACGATATTACATAACAGATATAATTATTGGAGTCTGCAAACGTTTTTGATGGGACCCACGATAATCCGTAAAATCATTTATTCAAGCGTATCATTCTGCTCGAAATAATAACAATCAATAACAAAAAAATGATCTATTCACGTTCACTCGGTAGAATAATAAAAAAACGTGCTTTCCGGAAGTGCAATACGAGTGTATGTGTTTCTGTGTGTTGTGTTGGGGTGTGTGTGTGTGTGAGTAGAAACGTAAAACAACGTGTTATTTCAACAGTTAGTTATTCAACGAAAGAAAGGTTGATTTTATTTTCAAGGCAACGACTCTTCCTTGAAAAAAGTAACATTTGCTAAAATATTCAATTATTAATTATTCATATATTTATTTCAACATTTTTTAAACGTCAAATATTCATCTAATCGATTTAGAATTTAAATCTGAGCACTGATTTATGGAATCGAATGGTTTTGGGGATTTAAATAAATATTTTATTAATAATCAATCGAATTTATATAAATATTTTTTTTCTTTTTCTAGACTTTTAACTTTAATAAACACGGGCTACTTTGTGGTACTGTGTTTTCTTTTTTTGTGAAAAACACAATTAAAAAAGTTTAGAAAATATGATCCCACGGTGAATGAATCTCATATAAACTTGATACAATTCATTATAAATGTGATATTAATTAAACAGAACGTTGTATAATCAATATATAGTCACTTAAACAAGGAAATACGAATAGGAAGTGTTATGAAAAATAAATATTGGAAAGAACAAAAAAAAAAAGTGAGAAACAAGAAAAAATAAAGCAACTCATTATTAGGAAGAAAAAATATTTCCTTGTTCTTTTTTAAACATTAACTATTAACTAACTACTTGGAAGGGGGAAAAGAAATTATTTGAACAAAAACAATAAAAAAGAAAAAGAAAAGAAGTAAAAGAATAAAATAAGAAACGAGAGAAGTAAAGAATGAAATGACTCATGTTTAAAAAAACACACAGCCATAGATACATTTTTCGCGAACACATTAGCCTTTCCACTAACACAAACAATAGCGTTAACTGATTATATCTAATTCAACTATACACATTTTGAAATATTATTAATTCTCTTTCTTCTCTCTTTCCCCCTCCCCTCTCCTAATTTTTTTTTGTATTAACACATTTATATGTTAATGTACACAATGTAATAAACAAAGAATGTTAATATCTAGGTATAATAAGTTATTAGATATGATTTATAGAAATATCGACATTTGATTTTAATTCAATGTTTCTCAATTCTTCAACAAGTAAACGGATTTTGATTGTTAACTAGCACAATATTATTGTAAGAAAAATATAATTTCACAAGAACTATAATAAAATTGATAGATACCGAATAAAGACCAATTTTCAAATCGTTTATATTAAATGTGATATTTATATAATCAAATATTCTTTTACAATAAAATTAAATATCGATTTTTGAAAGTTAAATTAATTTAAAATATGTTCGTGTGTGTAACAAATTTGAAAAACTACGTATTTATTTATATATAAAGTAAATATCAATTATTTCAAATTTATAATAAAGGCAGGGTGGTGGGGGGGGATTTCATAGGGTACGAATATTCCTGTGTATCACTATAAATATACGTTGGAACACGTGTGCTAATTAAATACGGATTTATATATATATATAACTGATATTATCTTGCACTAATTGTAAAAGAGAATAAAATGTCGTTTCAAGGTAAAACTTTGTAATTTAACATGATCATGGAAAACGTATACATGTGCGTGTAATATACTTTGTTTCAATTTTGAAATACATTTCAATATTCAATTATATTTGAATGATATGTAAGAAACATGTAAACACACATTAATACGTAACGTATTAATATACAAAAAAAAATGTTATTTAAATATAGAAGAAAATAGTTTACGTTGACTTCAAGGTAACGATTTGTCGTATCATTCCTTTGCAAATAACCACATACATATATAAGTTTTGTAAGAAAAACGTCCAGTGTCTTTGCGTTATTTTGGATATCATGTTTAAATTATTTTGTTGATAAAATGTCAAACGTCATTTTCTAATTATACCATTCGAAAAACTTTTCACCTTTTATTTCCTTGTACTTCTCTTTCTCTCTCTTTCTTTTTGTTATTTATACGATATTAAATGTTAAATTCCAAGTTTACGAACAAAGCACGTTTCTTTTCATACTCAAATGAATTGAAAGCTTTTTCCAATTTCTGGATAAAAATCAATCGATATTTTTTCATTTATTATCGAAACATTCGAAGTATCTCGAATTTTAGTAATCAACTTTTTGTTTGATCGAAGAAAAGATTACAAAAAAAAGAAAAAAAAAAAAACAAAACAAAAAGAAAAAAATCAAAATCACTTTCGGTAAATAGTTAAAAAAAATTGTTTACAATATTTGTAACAGTATTGTAAGTAAACATAAAAAGAATTGAAGGGGGGGTGGAAGGGGGAAATAAATGCAAATCATTCAGGGAAAAGTATCGAAAAGTTAGACCACGAACCATTTCGCGTCTATGGAAAACTAACTTTCCATTATTCACATTTGTTTAGATAAGATCTATGAATGTTTTATAAACAATACTAAATCAAAAGGGAGTAAACGTCAGCGAACTATTGTAGTCCGATCGGAATGTGGGGAATAGCACGAGGGGACCTTGGGAAGATATACCTGGGATTAAGAACCGGTTCAAGGACGAACGAACAAACGAACGGATGGGTAGGTAGTATTTCGCGGTGTCGAAAAGTTCGACTAGATAGAAAATAATGTGTTTACCTCTTTGGATATATGTTTTATGGATGTAGTCTCGATATAAATTTATAAATATATCTGTGTTTTTCCTTATTTCGTCTTTCCTTCTTCTTTTTCCCGTCGATAGGATTATAGTCTTGCTTTGTTATGTCCTTTATCACTATATTTTTTGTTTTTATCTCGCGTATATTATTCGTAAGAAAGAAAGAAAAAAAAAAAGAGAGATACTTATCCGTAATAATATTAATAATAATAATAATAATAATAATAATAATAACAACAATAATATAATACTATTTCTAATATACGTCACACTTTATATTTACAATCTCGAAAAATTCGGCACGAATTTGATTTTTCCCGACAATGCGTGTTGTATACAGAGAGAACGAATATAAAAATAAATTATTTAAACGAAAAAAAAAGATACGTGTGTTTCCAATATATATATATATATAAAATAAATATTAGACACAAATTCTTGTGGTATATTATAACGGAAACAAAAACGTTATTTTTATTCTTTCGTCGATAGGATTGACGAATGTCCTGTGTGTGTCGTGAGTTTTCGGTAGACACTACATAGCCGTGTGTATATCGCGTCGTCGTAGCACGTTATGTGTACGGACTGTTCAGTTCGAGAGCCATTGGTGGGGCTTTATAGTCTTAGTGACGGTACAGGATTTCCCCACCCAGGACCATCAGATTACTTTACTTACACCCGCTCAAGACGTTCCTCCCTACGAAAGGCACCAACAACCAACCAACCAACGAACCAACCAACCAACCGAGTTCTTCTCAACACTAAAGTTAATGGTCTCTCTTATCTATACACTTGTATTTTATTAGTTTTGTAAAAGTAGTAGTATAGTATGTAGTAAAAGTATTAGTACTACCACTGACTACTGTTTATCGTTACAAACAAGTCGTCGTCGTCGTCGTCGTCGTCATTTTACGTTTGTGTCGTCAACGTTGCGCTGTGACTTTTGATGACGTCAACGGTGAACGAGAATTACGGGAAATTTCATGAGACTTTTCTCTCCGTCTCTCACCTGTAATTTTTCTATCTTTTTCTATTTATATCTATGGATATCCTATTTAATTTAACTCTTTGTTATCTATTTCTAGATTTTTTTTTTTTTTTCTTGAATATAAACATCAGAAAATCTTTTTATTCTTTCTTTCTTTCTTGTAACGTAATTTTGTCGTTTGCATTTTATTCTTACCTATTTTTGTTCTTTTTTTTTTTTCTTTTTTCTTTTTTTATTGGTTTTATCAATTCTTGTTTTTTTTCTTTTTTCTTTTTTTTTTTTATTTCAAACTCGTTTCCTCTTTTTTTTTTCTTTTTATATGTGCTTGGATTTCATCGAGGCTTTACTTCTTCGTACGTCATCGTCTTTCCGATTAAAAAGACGACCTTCTCTTCCTCTTCCTTTCATTTTGTTCTTCTTCTTCCTTCTCTTCTTCTTCTTCTTCTTCTTCTTCTTCTACTACTACTACTACTACTTCCCCCCCTCCTTCTTCATCTTCTTCTCCTTTTTTTTCTTGTTCTGGTGAAAAAAGATGGGGGAATGCTCGCGGTCGGTTTAGATTTCGCTCGAAAATGATGGATTTTGTAGTAAACACTTATTACGGAACGCGTAAAGATGCGAAAGTTATTCTCAACGAGGTCGTGTATATTATTATTATTATTATTATTATTATTATTATTTTAATGTTGCGAGGCAATAAATTATTTAGATTTAGTCATATTTCAATCCATGTTTTTATGAAAGAGAATTTTTTATTTCTAAATTATGCATGTGCAATTTTTTATTTTATTACGATTGATATTTCATTTATTTAAATGTNTTACGATTGATATTTCATTTATTTAAATGTTCTTATGTAATATATATTTGTTTGTGTATAAATATTTGATTAAATGTTTTCAATATTTAAAATGTAAACGTAATTTATATATATATATAAATTGTAAATATATTTTTATTATTATATGCACATAAATTAGAATATAGATAATATCACATTTCTCCGATAATATTTCAAATATTAATACTTTCTACAAATAACAATGAATTTATTTAAATAGAATAAATATATAAGAAACTATCGTAATAAATTTCCATTAGAAATCACTGGATGATAATGTTAATAGATTCCATTGACGTAAAAACTAAATCCGAATAAAAATTTGATCGAAAGAACTACTGGTTACATTTACGTCGAAGAAAAACATAGTCAGTCAGCTTTCTATGTAGTTCGAACTAAGACTTTCCTGGTAGCTTTGAGAGTTGGGAATGCTTTACTTTCCAAGCATCCTCAGGCAGTAATCAGAAAAGACTTTCTGGGAATAATTTAATATAGTGATTCCCAATCGTTGAATATTTATTTATTCCTAGACACCTAACATAAATCCTTTTTTATAAAATACATATATCATTATTAATTTTAATTGCCACTCTTTGATTTTTCGTATTCAAAATTATGTGTATATAAATAAATGAATAAATAAATAAATAAATAAATAAATAAATTAGTTTATAAATGCAAGATTAAGAAATAAATATATATATATATATATATAATATGTTGATATTTACGCGAAAATATGAGTGGATTAAAAATCGTACGATTAACAAGCGACATTGAATAACTTGATAACCATTCGGAACAACAGCTTATACAATTTGTCATACTATTCTACCAAGACTAATTATAATATACGTATATGAAGTAAGTAGTTAAAAAACAAAAAAAACCTTTCGAGTTTCCAGTTTCTATTTTAGCCATTTACCGATAAAGGAAACCAATGAGAATAAACGCCATTGCAGTCGATCGTTCCAAGAATTAGAACAATAGCCTCGAGCATTTCAAATCGATGAATATAACTAATAATCCTCGCGTGTAATAAATGATATAGTTTGTAAACCCTTTATTGATAATTATCGTCAAAGTGATTTCAAACTCATTAACGTTATTCACATTACCGAGCATCGATTAAATCTTTTATTAAATATATATATATATATTTTTTTTTACATTATTCTTAACATTCTTATTTCTAAATATAAAAATTGTACGAAGGACGTAAAAATCAAATAAATTGTT